GAAGACGACAATGTCACCCTTGTCTGCACTCGGCATCAAAGTTGTAGATATGTATTGTAGTCTACAGTGAAGCGCAATTGGCACTTCAAGCTGATGTTGAGCCTCAACTTTACAAAACTGAGTGAACTAGTTAATTCCAAGAAATGGCGGCTGTCAACTAATAGCTCATAGCCGCCACTTCTATGCCAGAAAATTAAATCTCTGCATCCCACGTAATTCCACCTTTTGTGTTCCCCCTTGTGCTGCACCCGCCATCAGGAGCAGCAGCAATAGTCGCAGTGTTTGGCATCGTTTAGTTCAGCGAGCGACTTGCCTCCCTCGTTGGTACCACTGAACACCACCAATTGCGTTAGAAACTGATGTGGTAGTTGAGTACTACACAGTAGTTGAGTACTACATGGTATCACACACTGCCTTGCTGACGTGTTTACAGTGGATCCTTTCCAATAAAAGAACACATCATGTGTTATGACAAACATGTCATGACAAACAATGCAATGCCATCTGCTTATCAGGTTGAATGTATTAGATCGCCGGGCACGCGGGGCACGAGCATTATGGACACGGATGTGCTGGCATTGGTGGTATGCTTCAAGAAGCATGCCCCAAAGCCAATGCCCACTTCGCCTTCCAAACCCATCACAGCTCCAGCTCGGGAAATACTCCCAACTGAGAATGAAAGGGAGCCTGCCACATCCACAGCTCAGAGCGGTCGGACCAGCCCCATTGCCGCCAATACCACAAGGAAACGGCGCCCACTGTGGCGCGCATTGATGGCAGTGGGTGCCACCATTGGTGCTATCGCGATTGGTTGTGCTGCGACTCGCTCCCGGTAGGAGCTTCACAGCACACAACATGGTGGATATGGCGGTGGGGCAGAAGGTAGTGGGGCCGGTGAAGAATGGCAGTGGAGGGCAGTACAGGAGATGGTGGTGGAGGCTTAGGATGTGGTGGCAGCGACGGCGGTGGTGGAGGTGGACGGGGCGGTGGAGGAAGAGGCGGGGGGA